AATAGCAACCACCGTTTTAGCTATGGATTGAATGTTGTCTCTAATCCATTGCTAATTTAATAAAGTGAATCAAGGAGATAGAGGCTACTATCCAAGCAATAGGCCGATCAAGTTAACGACATATAGACTTAGTTACACAGAGTTATAGGGTTGTTAAAGAACCTCCAGACTACCTTCCATCCCGCCTACTGTCTCTCCTACAACCCAATAGTTAGTCGTTCCTCTCAATAGCTAGTAGTCGAAAGATGATGCGGGAGATGACGATAATGAGGACTAAATTTTTTATTTTTTTAATAAATTTTTTTTAACATTTTTGTATATCTTAATGGATTTATATATTTATTTTATTTTAATTTATACAATTTTTATTTTTTTAATAATATAGCATATTATAATAAGTTGCTATTTATATTTGTTTGTTGTTACAATTATCGATAAATGACAATTGATTGAAAAGAAAATAACAAGGATTTAGCAACAGAATAGAGAGAATAATTAACGATGAATTCATACTCAATTTCTAAATAGTGATGGAACCAAGCAACAGATTTATGAAGATATTAACGACTTAAATTTAATGATAAACCATTTGATGGATATAAGTGGAAATAGCAACGAGTTAACGACAAATATGAAACATCATAGATGATTGATTTAGGTTGGTTTAGTGATGACTATTTAACAAAATAGCAATAGAAAAAAATTTGGTCACTAAAAAAATAGCAACCACCATTTTAGCGATGGATTGAATGTTGTCTCTAATACACCGATAATTTCATATAGCGATGGATTTTTCCCAAATAGCGACAAAAAAATCCATTGTTATTTAGCAAATTTTTGTGTCATAAGGATGAAACTCTTAAAGTTTTCAAGGATTCGTTGGTTGTTATGAAAGGTACCAAGGTAAATTTTTTTTTTTTTTTTATGTTTTATAGGGTAGCATAGTGACGAGTTCGACATGTGAGTCTTCTTCTTGTTCCGATAGAGACACAACTCAACTATGGCATATGCGTTTGAGTCATATGAGTGAGAGAAGGATGGCTATTCTAAGTAAACATGGTTTGCTCTGTAGTGATCATATGACGTCACTTGATTTATGTACGCATTGTATCTTTGGAAAACAAACCAGAGTGAAGTTTTTTATCGGTTCTCATTCGATAAATAGGCATATTTGATTACATTCACTTGGATTTATGGGGACGAGCTCATGTTTCATCTAAAGGTGGTACACTTTATTTTCTAGCATTTATTAATGATTACTCTTAGAATGTCTGGGTTCATTTAATTAAACATAAGAGTGATATTTTTGAAACTTTCAAAAAAATAAAAATTTCAAGTTGAGAACCAAATAAAGAAGAAGATTAATTAGTCAATAAGGTTATTGTATAACATCAAAAAACTTGTTCAGCTTAATTGTTCAGGGAATCACCCGAGATAGAACAGCAAGAAATGAAATTGGAGAAACAAATCCCGCCTTTGCAAAGATTGCCTATGTTTTAGATTACTTAACTTATCTATTTCCAAGAATTTCATGGAGCTTTAGTATGATCTCCACTTCCTCCATGCTGAAAGTTTCCAAGCTTTATATCCGGCCTTAAGTGTTTCATCCGAAAAAAGCCTGCAACTCTTTCCTGATCTTAACTAACCTAATCAAATTGGAGAAACAATAAAGAAATGAACGTTAACCTCACTATCGCCATTTTCTTTGGTAACATATTTGGAATTCAACTAAATATTAGTACTGCTTGTTTCTTACCAGAAGCTTCCGGCATTTCTATCCAATTCCAAATGCCATGCCTGTTAATATAAGCGATCAACTTCTGATCTTCTTCGGGACTCCATGCCCCTCTTTTCATCAATAATCAATCCTTAAAACTTTCCCATATATCAGTTGGAGGTTCAGTAAAATACACTAACCCTCCTGCCACTTTATCTCCTTCATAATGAAGAGCTGCCATTGCAATTGCAAGTTTGCAACAACGAAAAATACCTATTTCAGATTTATATTACAAAAATTAAAATCATAGGCCCCGAAGTAAACATTTGCTGAAAACCTATGGGTAAAATATGCATTATCCTTAATTTTACTTTTGCTACCGAAGTGATCCAAATAATACAAAACTGTGGAATTTATAGAAATTTTATCTTTCACAATATGACACCGAGGTTTGAATCCCAGTGATCAAGGAAAGTATACATACTTTCAAGCAACCATAGGCAAACCCTTTAATTTATCATCTACATATTTGATCGAGATAACATCTAAATACCATACTGCTCATGATTATCCCAAAATTATTAGTAATATGCCTAGTGAAAGACTAGCTAGAAGGCCATATTAAAAATGGCGAAAACATACCCTATACTTAGATTCCATACAATTGTGCTTGCATCAAACATTCCATTCAAAAATCTTCGCCATCATCAAAATTGGGGGAAGCATTTGGATAGTGCAAGAACTCTTGGATCCACATTTCATCTGTGTATGTTTCCCCATAATCATCTACCTTGCACATTTGACCTTCCATTGAAAATGGCTCCCCCACAAACTAAATTCTCCAAAAGATTCAAGTAATCCAAGATTCTCCTCCTCCAGACCAGACCAGGTCTGGTTTTCATTGAAGTCACTCACAGGAGTACTAGAGCTTGATGAGAAATTAGAAGCAGACTGAATTGGTGACATGGGGAACCCCTTGGAGGAGTACTCTTCTGAATTCAATATTTTTGGAGCAGTGATCAGAAGTGAAGCATCAATGTCAGATGATTTCCTTTTCTTGGATTCTTCTTTAGATATTGGCACTCCTTGCACTTTAGGTGCCAGCACTGCAGTATTACTAATGTTGCTGTACAAGCGGCCCTTCAAGTGGGTGTTCCAGTGATTTTTTATCTCATTATCTGTTCTTCCAGGCAATTTTGCTGCAATTGCAGACCATCTGAGATGGGTAAAAGAAAAAAAAATATTAGGGTTCATCTTATATATGTAGACAATCAAAGTCAATATCTCTTAGATTGATTATTAGATAATCCTATTAATCTTCAAATATATCGTAGTTTGCTATATATTCCAAGTATATTAACTGAAACTGTTGAAGTAGCAACGGTTACTATATCGGAACATCACCAATCTGCAACATGGTTGGCGGCTTGTCGCCTACCACGAGGCCAACCATGAGACCATATTGTCTGATCACCTGTTCCAAGATGGTGATATGTAGTCTCTGACCCCTCACTCAATATGAGAATGATATCATGAAAAGCTATTATGGATCTTTTAAGAGTTTCACATCTTCTAGTTTTAACTGGTTTTACATTCCATAAATAGCTTTTGATGATATCAATCTCATATTGACTAAGGGGTCAAAAGAGTACTACCAGTAGCTGATGAATGTACTGGAGCTGTATTTCTCTTCTAAAGAGCAGAAATGGTAGACTGCTTCGAAATAGAAGAAATTACTTGATGAAATGGTAGTGTATGTATATGAAAACCTAAGAATTGTAGGTTTACTAATGGAAAAGAAAGAAATCATGCCTTAGCTACCAAAGATTATCCATATTTTAGGGTAAACTTACCTATTTCCTAACTTTTCATGCAGCTTGATTATTGTCCGCACTTCTTCCTTGCTAAAGTTTCCACGCTTTATATTCGGCCTTAGATAGTTCATCCAACGAAGCCTACAGCTCTTCCCTGACCTTAACAAACCTAGGATTGGAAGGAAAAAAGAAAAAAAAAAGTGAGAAATTATAGCAGTCATATTCTCCCTGCATTTTGATTGTATATGAAATATTTAGAATTCAAGTAGTAATCATTAGTAATATAATTAATTATTAATTACCAGCAGCTTGCGGCATCTCATTCCAATTCCAAATGCCATGTCTCTTAATATAAGCTCTCAGCTTATGATCTTCATCAGGACTCCATGTCCCTCTTTTCAAACACAAATTCTGTGAAATTCTTCTCATCGTCTCCGACCGTGAGAATCTGTTTCTACGCTTCACTTCCTCTCTCTTAAAACACCATACAGCACCCATTTCCGTACGGTACCCTATAAAATGTTCTACTGGAAGAACGACTTTCAAATTTCTATAGTTCCCATACCAACTATACCCACTATATATGTGTGTGTGTGTGTAGGGTCCTTCCTTGAACATTCCATAATACAATGCTATGTGGATTGCGACCGTATAAATAAATTAAACCGTGTGGTTAGTAGATTGACGAGTTCAATAGAAAGAATACGGAAAAAGAATAGTAAAATTGGTTTAAAGTATAAATTAATTTGAATTGAAATGCAGATGATGTATAAATGGTTCAGGCATATCAAGGATGCAAGTCTTTTAATATATTAAAATTCAGTTAAGATCCTGTATTGATCCTGATTTTAAAATTCAATATTTGTGACTTATATAAAACTCAATCAATCAATTAAACTATCTTCTTCTTCTTCTTCTTTTTTAATTCTCACAAATAAACTAACCTCTCTACAAATATGATTTTTTTTCCCCTTGTTGTGGCATGATTGGTGAAGTTTTATTTCGATTATTCTGAGTTAGCAAGCTGAGACTAATTAGCTTACAAGTAAATTATAAATTAGTTCTTTTATTTTTTAAAAATGAATTAATTAGTTTTTTTTTATTTTAAAAAACTACTAATTAAATTCCTTGACCAATATTGATTATGTTTAATTTAATAATATTTTATTTTAAAAAATGACATATTTTCTCATCAATCTTTTTGTGATTTTTTTTTTACTGTTTATTAGAATAAAAATCAAAATAAATTGAAAAAAATAAAAAGAATTAAGTTACAATAAATTTTAAAAATATTGAGATTAAAGTATTAGTTTTTAAGATATCCTTCATCTGTCCGGAAAAAAAAAAGTTAAAAAAGCTTGCAATACTTCCCTAGCCTGAACAAACCCAAAACTAGATGGTTAGGAATTCATTCTCGGATCACATCAATTGTATGGCATATGGCTAGAATAGTCATCACTACTTTGCTTCTACTCTGAAATATTTAGAATTCTATGCCGATCTCCAGTATATATTGGCTTGTTTTTAATTCCATGTCTCAGTATATATTGGCTTCCGATCTCCAGGACTCGATCCATGCCGCTCTTTCGGAGGAAGATTCTGATATAGTTATTTGGAATATTTTTTTCATCACCTTATGACCCTTGAGAAATTATTTCTAGACTACAGGTTTTACCTGAAAACAGCTGGAGTCTTGACTTCTATATTTAACATGCTTTTGTAGTGGGAAAACGTGTTTCAAAGTTCAAAATTGCAAATCATTTCAAAGACTTGTAAAGAAGTCATGCAAGTACATACAATATATCCTTGGATTATATGTAAAATTAATTCACACGTACAAATAAATATTTTTTTAGGTTGTGACGTAATGGCAAGTGGACAACCTTTGTTTGAATGAAATAGGAAGAGACTAGAAGTCAAGCCACGAGGTAAAATTAGACTAATATCTTCACGTCCGTATAGCATCTGAACGTAAGAAATTAAGGAGTCAAGAGCTCAAGTCATTTTTTATATTAGAACTTTGGAAATCAACCAGCTAGAGTGAACTAAGAGAAATTGAAGGTTAGAAATGGGAGAATATATATATATATATATATATATATATATATATATATATATTGCAACTTTGAAAAGCTAGCCGTGTCAAGAAATTGCAGGCAGCCTAGATAGAAATAAGTACGCCTAAAGGTGTGGGCACACCTTCCCCAGATAAGCAAATACAGAATCTTATGTTTTGATGTAAATATATTAATTAACAAAGAGTGGACAAATCATATGATGAGAATTGAAAAGTTGTCGAAAGTAAATGTATGACAGAAACAATTTCTCTAGTTCAGGAACACGATGAGAAAGGGAGGGTGGGGACTGTTTTTTGGGTGCATTTTTTAGACCGTACTGTTTTTTGGTGAATAATTAGTACACTTAATTTAGGCGAAAGAAAAGGCAATAATGCGATGTAGATAACGACATAGCCGCCCATATGATGTCCTCGTGCAACCAAATTATAAAATTTTGATTAATATATACCATTTAAATTATATTGTTTTCTGATTCTAACTCCTAAATTATAAGATGTTTTGAATTATACCCTTTTTATTACGTTCCGCTTAAACTATAAGATTTGATCCAATGGACTAGCTACGTCACTTCCATAGAAAAATCACAAGTTCAAGCTACACACTACGTACAGAAGCTTTTAGGATTTATTCATCATGCGACAAAATGGTTGTGTACATTTGATCAGTACTTGGGTGACCACTGTGCTATTACGATACCGAGCCATTTTAAATTTTATTTAATTTCTAATCTAACTAAAAATGTACAACATCCGATTACATATAAATAAATCTTAAGCATTCAAAATAAAAAACAAACTTGTGAACTATTTGCTTCTCCTAGTTAAACTTACCAATATTAAAAAAAAAAAAAATTAACAAGAATTATGAATCCCTACAATTTGAAAATTATAAAAAATAAAAAAATAAAAATAAAAATAGAGAGCAAAACTTTTCGGCTACCAAAACCGCCAAAAGTATGATCAAACGAAAGCTCAAACTATGAGTTGTCTTTGACCAAACCTCGAATATTTGATACTTCTAGCACCAAAATATATAAAGTAATTGTTTCTAAAATTAAGCGATTTTTATTTTTTATTTTTTATTTTTTAACGAAAACATTACCACGCGCACTCACATAGAATAAACGGACAAAAGATTAGGTTAAAATTATCTTCATTGCCATTGTCTCTACTGGGGAAGCTTTCGTCGTCGTCGTCGTCGTCGTTATATATCAAATTAGGTTAAAATCAGTACTTAAATGAATATATTTGGTTTAGCCTCAAGGACATCACAGTACGTACGGCTCATATGGATTTCTCGATTAAAAAAAAAAGTCGTACTATTACTTGGTGAAATATCAAATAAGTCCCTCGTTTATATATATATATATATATAAACCTCAATTGAGCTTTCAAGAATTTTTTTTTTTTTTTTTTTTGAATTACATCTCAAAGGGCAAAGATTCAGCAATTATCAATTATATCCCTTTAATTTAAAATCATCAAAAAAAATATGTAAAAAGAAGAATATCTACTTCTTTTCATTTCATGAATTCACGTCTCAGATGAATCCGTCGATGGAGAGGCCAAAGTGTGATCCATTGATGGATAAAGCCAAGTGTCTGAATTGGAAATCTCTGAACCTTGAGGGATGCAATTGAAAAGATATTTCTTTTGGTGATGCGATGAAAACATAGATTGGGAAGTTTGCCCTACCAGCCTTAATATGGACTTTTTGTCTCTTAAAGACTTGTGCAAAAGCATGTCATGATTTGCAGCTTTTCTTTGTGGAAGAAAGAAAGAAAGAGCTGATGATAATAGTCAATCTTAACAGCTAGAAGTCCCCGCAACATGGTACAGAGGCTCCATGATGCCTGGACTGCAACATTAACATGTACTTTGCATCTTAAACATATAGTATTAAAAAATTATAATTTTAAAGGACGAGAATTTATTTTCTTGTTGTTCTTGACAATCAAGATACTTGTTTTTGTACCTGTTTTTGTACATCTAAATTAGTTTTTTTTTTTTCCTATTTGATTTGAAGTAGGACATTCATACTATATATATATATATAATCTGAACTCAATGTAATGATGTAGAGAGAAGAGAGAAAAATCGTTTACAATACGATTCAAGCCACCAAGGATAGCTGAACATCAATGATTTGTCATTTCTTTTCGGGTGTGTTCATTTCACATTAATGGTTTTTCTATTTTGGTTCTAGAGTGCTTCGTCTTCCCATATTATATTCTCCTTTTGGATTTGGCTTTGGCTTTGCTCTTGGTGCTTTAATGAATTTCATTAATTGCCTTTAAAATAAAGTCACCAAGTATATCTAGCTAGCAACTGCATAATTTTGTATTAAAAATGTTCCTATTTTAAAGTGTCTAAAAGGTCAAGATTAGCCATCTATGGTTGTGTTGGCATAACTAAAAAAAGACTGATAAGAAACATTGTCCATTCACTTTGGAGCTTATCAAGATGATTAACTGTTATATTCTCATGTTTTTGAGGATTAATTTTTATTATTTCAGGTGGGAAGCCGACATTGTGGAAGAATATGTTAAATGACAAACGAATGTGTTTTGGGGGGGGGGGGGGGGGGGGGGGGTGGGTTTGGGGTGGTGTCATGAAATTTAAGTTCACTTATGATGAATATTTTTAAAAAATTTATTAGTAGTAAATAGCCAAGTCAAGCTCAGCCTTCACGATGATATGAGATGATCGATCTCAAAACCTTAATTCCACACGTTTTCAATGCACATTTGTAGTTGTACAATAACATTTTTGTCTCAGTGATTAGTGTTGAAAAGGACCAAACCGAAATTAATTCATTGATTAATTAAGACGAAGTAGAGATGGGGCAGAGAAAATATGCGCTACTGGTCCCGGTCCATTTTGCCTTTCCTGAGTCCTAAAATACTGAAAAGCCAGCCCAAAGAACAAAATTACCCAACCCACAGAAAAAATATATTTAAGGGAGCTCCAACCTGAGACACGCGCTTGATTGGTCCTTGTAAAATTTATTCAGCAGCAGAATCCAAACTCAGCAATGTGAAATCTGATGGGAGAAAAACAATAACAACAATCTAAAAAATATCGAGCTAAATAGCAAAATAATTTTCTCCCTACTATTGTATAAATCTAATAAAAGAATAATAATGTAGAGAAATAAGCAATTCAAATAACGCACCACCAATGACAAGTAAACGCAAACCAATGTTGATGTGAAAAACTTCTTTGATGTGAGTAGTAAAAACCATGGAATCGTAATCCACAAAAAACTCCATTATGAATTAAATAATGGATTCCCAAAGTTCTTCTTTAACTCTACCTAGAGGCATACACAACGTTATCATAAAAAATAATAATCTTAGAATAACAACCTATGAAAGAGATCAATACGGATAAATCTCTCCAAATAAAGTTATTGTTCACGTCCAAAACCCAATGTAGGGAGCTTCAATTGACGATCCTACTGTTGAGATTGACGAATCGTGAGTCATAAGTATGCTCGTCAAAATTTCAAGTCAATCACACCACAAATCAATACTAATCGTCATTTTGATGAAACTGTCGTAATTTCTCAAAAATCCAAATTTTCTACTATATCTTATTTGCTCTCTCTCACATTTTTCCCCTTTTTTCTTTGAAGTTTTTCTACCCCTTCAAACAACAACCAAAACCTACTTATTCAAGTTTTAGGTCTCAATTGTTTGGCTTTTCTCCACATAAAAAGTGACTTAACCCAATAAATCTCTCCCTCACGACGATGTGGATGAATCTACCATTCTAGGAATAGAATGACAATGTTTAAGCTTCTTTCTTAGTAGTGTCTTTCTCATATCGGAGCAATTGTGGTCTATACGAATCTTCTCAAGCTCCAATAATTTTTTCATCCGGAGCATTCATTATCATAATATCTAACATCAATATATTTCGATCTAGAATGAAAAGAGGAGTTCTTACCAAGATGAATCAACCATTCTCATTGTCACAAATAACACATATCTCTTTTCTACAAAACCAATTTCTCCCAATAACTTCTTTATCCATAGTAACTTTTTACTAGCTTTCATTACCGCGATAAATTCAGCTTTGGTTGCGTAAAGTGCAATACATTTTTATAACTTTGAATTCCATGACATAGCTTCATCGAAAAAGAAATCAAATAACATAAAGTATATTTTCGAGTATCAATATCTCCAACCATATCCGAATCCGTGTAGCCAACCAACTCAAGTTTCTCATTCCTAAAGCCGAGCTTCAAACTAAAAGTTCCTCAAAGATACCTCCTAATCCATTTTATTGCATTCCAATGGTCTCTTTTTGGATTTGACAAAAGCTACCGACAACACTAACTCGCATATGCTAAGTCCGATCGTGTACATATCATGACATACATTAAGCTTCTTACCGTGAAGGCATATGGAACACTTTTTATGTCTTGCTTCTCTTTATATGCTGAAGAATTTTGCTTGGTGCTTAATTTAAAGAGGGCGATAAGAGGAGAGGTAACCACTTTCATTTTGTCCATGTAAAATTTCTAAAGAACCTTCTCGACGTACTTCTCTTATGACAATAACAATTTCTTTGTATTTCTATCCTAAGTGATTATAATGCCAAGAATCCATTTCACTAGGCCTAAGTCTTTCATGAAAAAAAGGACTTACTTAACTCTTTCTTAAATAACTTAATTCTTGAAGCATTTTTGCCAATAATCAACATATCATCAATATACAACATGAAAAATAATAAAGTCATCATCAAAAAAATTTTGGACAAACACACAATTATCTAAAGTAGTCGTTTTAGCCATGCTCTTTTATAATTGACATAAACTTTTTATATTATTGTCTTTGCGCTTGCTTTAGACCATAGTGACTCTTCTTCAACTTTCACATATAATCATCTTTTCCTTTCACCTTAAAACCTTCTAGTTGGTCCATGTATATCTCTTCCTTCAAGTTATCATGTACGAAGGTTGTCTTTACATCCATCTACTCAATCTCTAAGTCTAGGCATGTTGCTAGGCTTAAAACCACTCGAATAAAAGACATTTGCACAACCACAGAGAATATATCACCAAAGTCAATACCTTTTCGCTAACCAAATCCCCTAATAACCAATCTAGTTTTATACCATGGTTGTGAAGCTTGTTCATTTTGCTTCAACCTTTATACCCACTTGATTTTTAAAACTCTTTTGCTTTTAGGCAACTTCACCAACTCAAAAGTATGATTTTTATATAGTGATCTGGATTTTGATTTTTATATAGTGGCTGCATTTCATCTTGTATGGCATCAATCCAGTTTTCTTTTTGCATTCATTTTCAATTGCTTCGCATAAAACTCGGTTCACCTACATCAATCAACAAGATATATTCATCCGAAGAATATCTCGGTGGAAGGTCGTTGATCTCTAACGGATCTTCGATTAAAACCTCTAGTTTATGAATCGTATCATTAACATCTAAATATTTTAAGATATGTGATTTTTTAAAATCATTTAAGGCATGTTGGCTCCCTTCAACTTATGTAAAAATATGTGCGAAGGAACTAAGTTTAAATCAACAAGATCATCACTAACTCCGAGGTAGTTTAATCTTCAATTTTTCAATGTTTTATATTGTTTCATCTTTCTATAAACACAACATCTCTACTTCTTATAAGTTTATTCTCAACTGAATCATAAAACTTGTAGCCAAACTCATTTTGCCAATAGCCAATGAATATGCATTGCTATTTTTTCATATCAATTTAGATCTCTTATTTTTGAGAATATGCACAAATGTCTTGCACCCAAAGACACATAAATGGTCATAAAAAATGTCTTTACTCGTCCAAACTCTATTAGGAGCATCAAGCTCTAATGGAATACATGGAGTAATATTTAACACATGTATAATCGTACCTAAAACTTCACCTTAAAAGGATCGAGGTAGTTGTATTTGTGAAAGTAGGCTTATCACCCTTTCAACCATTTAACCGAGGAATCTTGGAAGGAGTCCTTTGATGTTGAATTCCCTGTTGTCTATAATATTCATCAAAAGGTCCAATGTACTCTCCTTCGTTGATAGTTTTGATGCATTTTAACTTTTTTCTAGTCTATCTCTCACTCGAAGCTCGAAACTGCTTAAAACATATAACACTTGGTCTTTAGTCTTCAATGTGTAAACCTAAAGCTTCGTGAGTGATCATTTATAAAGGTAACAAAATAAAGAGAGCCACCGAGTGTTTTTTTCTTTATAGGATCACAAACATCGAGTGCACTAAATCGAGTATACCCGGCTTTCTTGAAGGAGAAGAACTTTTGAATGCAACTATCTTTTGTTTTCCATCCAAGCAATGATGACACTTTTCGATGGTGTATTTTTTATTCCCGAAAGTAGTTTCTTTTTAGCCAAAACTACCAACCTTTTCTCACTAATATGATTGAGCCTTTTGTGCCACAATTCAATTATACCCTCATCATCTGTTGCATTAATCTTTTCTGTGGATAACTTGGCCAATATAACGTACAAAAAAGAACATTTCATGCCTCCGGCAATAACCATAGAACCTTTAGTGAGCTTCCACTTACCATCACCGAATGTATTGCAATACCTTTCACAATCAAGCTTACATGTAAAGATCAAATTCAAACGAATATCGTGTATATGTTTGACATTATTCAAAACTAACCTCGTGTCGTTGTTGGTCTCTAAACACACATCTCCAATGCTTATAACTTTGGCCAATTCATTGTTACCCATCTTAACAAATGCAAAGTCACCAGATTTGTAAAATGTAAATAAATCCTTATAAGATTTCACATGAATAGATGCACTCGCTATCAAGCACCCAACTAGTCTCATGACATACAAAATTCATAACATCACCATCAAAAACAATGAGAAATTCTTCTAAGGGTATGGTAATATGATTGTCATCTCTAACCTCTTCGTTTTTCTTTTTTTTACCTTTCTCTTTTTTGTTATCCCTCTTCAACTAACGACAATACTTCTTGATATGTCCTTTTTTTATGGCAACAATGACACTCAACGTTAGCAAATTTATTGGATTTTCTTCGCTTTTATCTCTATTCTTCGAACCTCGAGTGTAACTTCTCTCTCTTTTTCAACAATTATGACATCAAAGTGTGAGAATGATCATCATGTCTTTCTTCTCATCTCCTCATTTAACACACTAGTTTTAGTAATTTTCATGGAAATCTTATCATCTAAGGTCGAGTTAGACAAAGATGTTTGAAACATCTCTCACAAGTCCGATAAAGTACCAAGCAAGCAACCATAAACCTTGCATTTCATCATCAAACTTGATACCCGAGTGTAACCAATTGATTAATAATCCCTTGAAAAATATTTAAATGATCAATCAAAGGAGTTCCATCTTGATATCTCGTAGCCATCATCTATTTTATCAAAAATAATTTATTATTCCCTGTCTTTTGAGCATACAATTGCTCAAGCTTATTCCACAAACTACGTGCATGTGTTTCTTTACTAATGTGATTCAAAACATTATAATCCACCCATTGTCTAATGTAACCACATACTTTATGGTGAAATATATTCCATTCAAGTATCGGTTTTATTCTCGTGTTTCTCTTAAAAAACACCGACAAATAATAATTTTTCACATAAAGAAGATTCTCCATTTCCCCTTTTCAAACATGATAATTCAAACCATTCAATGTAACCATTCTACTTGTATTAGTTTTCGTTATTTAACACAATGCAATAAAAACACTTCAAGCAAGAACTAGGCTCTGCTACTACTCAATCGGAGAAAAACAATAGTAACAACGAACTGAAAAATATCGATCTAAGAAACGGAATAATTTTCTCACTACTCTTGTGTAAATCTAATTGAAAACAATAACGTAGATTAATATAGCAATTCAAATAACACATCACCAATCACACGGATGCAAGCTAATTTTAACGTGGAAAACCTCCCCGATGTGAGGAGTAAAAACCACAACACCACAGTTCATCACAAACTCCTCTATGAATTAAATAATGGATTCACAAAGTTCTTCTCTAACTCTACTTAGAGCTATACATCAACATTATCATTAAGAATAACAATTTTGGAATAATTAACAACTCCGTGAAAGAGATCAATAAAGATAAATCTACCGAAATAGAGTTATTTTTTACACCAAAAACCTAATGTAAGAAGCTCCAATGGACAATCCGATCGTTCGGATTGAAGAATCGTGACTCTCAAGTATGCTGTAAAAATTTTCAGTCAATCGCACCACAAATCGGTATCCGATCGCCAGTTTGATGAAACTATCGTAGCTTTCCAAAAATCTAGATTTTCTACTTTCTCTTATTTGTTCTCTCTCACATTTTTCCCTTCTTTTCTTTAAAGTTTTCCTACCTCTTCAAACAGCAACTAAAACCTACTTATTCAAGTTTTGAACCTCAATTATTGGGCTTTTCTCCACGTAAAGAGAGTGACTTAGCCCAACAAAGTCGATGGGATGCTACTTCAAAATCCAAATTGTAATTGCAATATTTAGAATTTCCACCTTTAAGCACCTTAAGAACAAGGGTCTAGCCAATAACCACACACTTGTATTAATTCAAGCCAAGCTTGTCTACATCGAATGCAAACATTCTTTTCATCTTACTGTAAACTATAGGTCATATCTGGTCATATTTACTGATCTGGAAAGGCAACAACGTCCTGAGTATTTGCAGCAAAAGCTCCAGCCCCCACCCTACCTGCTGATGGCTTCTCGTCAACAAGTTGAGGCAACATGTCAGACGGATGAATTCATACATCATCACTAAGGTTCATTCACTTTTATACTCGTATTACGTTATTAATGTGGGTTAATTTATGGATGAATTCATATGTAGATCATATCTAAAATTTCTATGGAGTAAAGGGATACTATTTTAGAGGTAATAATATTTAATCCGATAAAAATTAACATAATTTTATACCTTGGTTTTTTTGGGCCAATGCATAAAGAATTTGAAGTTAAATCCCCAAACCCCATCCCTAAATTTGCGTAAATTAATTAAGATAAATTATTAAATACTTCTAGTGTATTATTTTTTCATTTACATAAAAATGAGATCAATGAATAATTATTATGATAGGTTCTATTTTTATGAGTAAAAAAATAGTATAGTGGAAATACCTAATATTCTCTTCGTAAATTAATGTTGTTGGAGTACTGGCCAACATTCTAGTAATTCATAATATTCATAAAAAAATCGAAGGGTAGCAATGGCACACTTTGCTACTCGATTCATCGCATACTCCTTCTAATACTACAACAATTTTGAGTCCTAATTTTAAAAATTATTAGGAAATAGAAATTTCTCATAAATCGATCTGAATAAGCTTGCTTAGTACCCGACCGTGGAAAAAGGAAAATACAAACTTAGTCTATCGTATAAAAAGCTTATCATAATCCTGTGCATGCATCTCCATGCAATAGTTCTTGGACCCACATTTCAACGGTGGGTGTATCTCCATAATCCTCCACCTTGCACTTTTGACCTTCGGTTGAAAATGGCTGACACCAGAAACATTGTTCTCCAGTTAATTCAAGCAATCCAACCTTATCTTCTATGGTCTGATTTTCATTGATTATGAGATCATTCACAAGATTAAAGCTTGAAGAAAAATTAGCTGTCGGCAGCTTTGGTGAGCCATCGGATTCCTCTGACTTCAATATTTTTGGCGCAGTGGGAAGAGGAACATCAATTTCAGGTAATTTTCTTTTCTTGGATTCCACTTTGGATGTTTGTGTTTCTTGAGGGTTATCAGGAGCTTGCACTGCAATATTAATACTGTTCTTCAAGTAATTTTTCTTCAAGTTGGTGTTCCAGAAATTTTTTATCTCATTATCTGTTCTTCCAGGTAATTTTGCTGCAATCGCAGACCATCTGAGACAGGTGAAAGAGAGTAAAAGCATTGAATTATTATTATTTTTTATGAACAAGCAAAAAAAAAAATCTTGAAATACATCATAGCAAAAAGTAACTTTTAATTAGTAGTGTATATGGTGAGAATTTTGTAATAGCTGTATTGGAACAATATTATATGATAATATTCGTGTTAAGTCCCAAGCTACATGGCTGGTGCATCAACAGGAATTATCTCAGTTCTCTTGAGGTCGAGGGCCTTGTCCTTGAAAATTGCACACCTTCTGAGAGGATTTGAACCTAGCTAGGTATATCTTGACTTCTAATCAATGGAAGATTGGTATCATCAAAACCGATTTTTGGTTCTTTTAAAAGTTCTATATCTAAAGTTGTTATATTAAAGAATTATCTTAATTTAAAAATTTTAAAAACCTAAATAAGAGTTTTTTAGGCTTGAACTATTTTATGTTTTATTTTTAATTTATAATTAAAAATAAAAATAGAAATGATAAAATTTGAATTCGTAATCATTTAATCCTTAAAACTTTAATATTATATTAAAAAATTATATCAATTTAAAAATTTAAACTATTGAGTAAGATCTTGAAATGATTTTTGTACTACTCTCTAATAAGCTAGTACTTTTAGGTGCTCTTATAAGATTTTAGTGTAGAAGTGCTAGAATGCTTTGAAAATGATAGAAACTTCTTGATAACAATGAGAGGAAATATTTATGGGCGGGAAATACCTAACAGTTGTATGTCTTTGTATACAATGAGAAATCTATACAAATAAGAATATTGATTAATTTCCAATCCAATCTTTATAAGTCTTGTGCATCATTATAGTGATTTAGGATGGAAATTATTGTGAGGTTATTGCTATATGGAATGGCCAAAACTTCCATTAATTAATTTAGGTATGTCCTGGTAGTCATAATTGTTCAAGGAATCACCCAAGATAGAACAGGAGGAAAAGAAATTTGAGAAATAAATAGTGCCTTAGCAAACATCATCTATATTTTAGATAACTTACCTATTTCCAATCTTTTGATGGAGCATGAGTATGGTTTCCACTTCTTCCATGCTGAAGTTTCCACGCTTTATATCCGGCCTTAAGTAGTTCATCCAACGAAGCCTGCAACTCTTTCCTGATCTTAACAAACCTAATCAAATTGTAGAAACAAGAAAAAGATTAACTTTTACCTCAATATCGCCATTTTCTTTGGTGAAATATTTGGAATTCAACTAAAATATTAGTACTACTACTTGTTTCTTACCAGCAGCTTTTGGTATTTCAATCCAGTTCCAAATGCCATGTCTGTTAATATAAGCTATCAACTTCTGATCTTCTTCGGGACTCCATGCCCCTCTTTTCAAAGGCAGATTATGAGAGTTATATTGTTGAATTCTTCTCATCATCTCCAGCTTGCCTTGAGAATCTATGCCTCTCTGGAGTACACGCTGATCTCTCACTAGGTTTAACACCTAAAGGAGTCAAGTCATTGCCATATATATCATATATTTTCTAGTGGGAAAACGTGTTTCGAGGTTCAAAATTATCCAACTATTTTACAGACTAATTGTAAATTAACCTTCTCACTAGCAAGTTCACAAGTTACGTGTTTATTGGAATTATAAGAAACGACAAAAACTCAAACCACGACGACAAAACGGACTATAACTAGTTGATATTTTCGGATGCCGTATGTTATTCCACGGAGACATACAACCTTTTACTATGAACGACACAGGTGTAAATAATCTCTTTTTTGGCATAACAGTATACTTCGGCAAAAACTTGAATGACAGAACTACACTGGAAATCATAGATTTAAATCACAGATAGTTGAAAAAATAAATTTTTTCGTTATCGTGGATTGTGATTTATTATAATAATAAAATAACAATAACGAGATATGTCAAAACTATTACATAACGATCGTTATTTAAAACTATGCTTGAAATATAAAAAACACCTCTACATTACTAGAGAACACCTCACAAGAAAAACCTGATTAGCTACAACCCAGTAAATCAAACCAATTGAAAAGAATAAAAAGTACAATATTTAATAAACGAGGACATATTTTCAAAACTATTTTTTTGTCTTCCCTACACCAACAAGGATGTCATCATACTCTTCCAATAGCTATTAATTAACATTAAAAACACTTATTTCCCAACTAGTATCAAAGGTTGTTGGAGATAAAGAAATGAACCATTCAATCCCTCATTTCATATAATTTGTCTAGTCTCTTGGCTAGATAAACAGTAAAAAAAATACTAAAGTTAAGGATTTTGAATCGTTCCTTTTACTACTACTACTCATCTTCTTCTTTAAACCTATATCATAGCATTATTTGGCTATTTTCTCCATTCTTAAACTAAATTGATTGTTGAAAGGAAAGGTCCTATAAGAAAAATAAGAGGACTTGTTTTGCCAATGTTCTAGCTAACACGTGCACCTCTCGTCAATGAGCATTGCCACCCTATCAGCAACCATTAAAGAAACCCATCATATTGCAAAGCTTAACAACCTCATCATTAGTATAATGCAAACTATACGTGCATATATATAGGATGCCTTCCAAAACATCTCCTGTTACAAGTTATATATCATAAGTAGATTTTGTTATAGGTTGTGACTTAATAAATCTAACCATTAAATTAGCAATGCAGTCATGTTTAATGTATAAAGCTGCACTTGTGGTTAATAGCTATATCTATAGTTATACAAAAAAAAAAAAAAAAAAAAAAAAAAAAAAAAAAAAAAAAAGAGCTCATTAGTCTAATTGCTCATACAAGACTCAAAATAAAAAGTTGTAATCAAAAGTTTAGCTACACTAAACATACTTTGCTATTCATTGTCTAGCATTAAAAATTTGTGTCCTACTCGTCAATCAATCTAGATTTCTTCTTCCGTCTTATGTTGTTTGCAATACTTGTTGAACCCTTCTAATCTGTTATCTATCACCGTTATCATCCTTCGTTTATTTAGCTTTCAATTGTTTATTCCTTCTATTAATTTAACTCATATCTTCTAAGTGCTGAGGAGTCATGACTATATAATTTTCAAGTGGAGTCCTAGTTACCGCCCCAAATAAAAGCCCTCGAGCTCTTGTACCGACTTATAACATAATGGTCAATTTTAACAACTACGACCACAACCATAATCATAAATTTCACCAATAAATTCATCTATAAATCAGACTATTGAAACTAAACTTATATTGAGTACTATATTAGCATTATGTGGCATTCTATTTGCACTTGTTTGTGTACCATAGACTTCACTTGCACATTGTTTGCTCGTCATTGTCATCTCCAACTTAACTATAACTAACATCAACAGCAGCACCTCTAGCTTCGAGCAACAAGTTCATTACTCACGGTATTTGAGTAATTCTTAGGTCTTCATTACTCCGAATAGCTCTAAAAGTTGATTTCTTCTTCTTTTTTTCCTTGTACTACACATGACATAAAATAGTTATTAAAAACAAAAAAAAATACAAATGGATAAAAAATTACAAAACTAAAAAAGAATAAAGACTTACAAATTATTCTCTTGCTTTAATTGTAAAGTTAAAATTCAATTTGTTTGGGCATGACATTTTATTATGGCTTTGTTGATAGAAAACTAAGCATCCTGTCTTCATATCCTTCTTCAATAGTGTCGTACCATTATAAGTTGGCTTTCCTATTTCTTTAAATCTACTCTTCTTAGGTCTTCTTGCATTTTCTTGAATCAAGGTGGTTACGGTGGTTTTTTTTCACTGTCTTAATCTAGAACTACTCTCTATTCAAGTGGCTTCATTACAAATCGATATGCTTCTAAGTATTTCACTTTGGTTAGCCAATGATACACATATGTTTCTAGTTCATTCTCTCATTTGTCAATGATTACACGTATGGCATAGCAACATGAAATTTTTGAAAGTTTTCTAACTCTATATGAACATGTCTTATTAGCAAGCTTAACCATATAGCTTTCAGTTGCTCCATACTTCTTAATTTCATAACTTTAAACCTCATTCCAATGTATATACCAATTATCATAACCGACAGCTTTATTTGCAAACAACTTTCTCATAATCTTGTGACTAGTATTATCAATTTATTTTTTATTTTTTCTCTCGTTGTTATGCATCATATTCATCACATGTAACCTGTCTATTCGGACATGGACGGGATTGATAAACATCTTGCATCCATAATTGCCCCCATTGAATGCTTTTGTTAAGTTGTTATCCATAACATTACATCTAGTTGTAGTAAAAAAGAATGCCTTACACCAAGCATCTTAGATCAACTCTTAAGATGTCATTGTATGCACTCTCCGATTCTTTGAACAACAAATCCATTTGTTTCTCAAATTGTGACATGTTTGTTGATTTTGAACATACCTAGATCGAATCTTGAAACTTTTTTCCTCCATATTTTTCCTCCAAGTAGCAAAAAAATGCTTAGCACATGCCATTCTCTCACTCTTTAGGTAGTAAATATTGAAAGCAATCCTTAGAAAGAAAAAACAAAAATCGGAGATTGTATAAAATAATCTACCAAGTTTAAATTACTATTAAAAACATAAAAACACACACACATGTGTGTGTGTGTGTGTATTGTCTAAATTACTTTGTGTTAATCAATAATAAACACTCAATCCTTAACTTGATCAGTAATGCCAAGGTCCGAGATAAGCTACCGAAAAAACCATATTCATGTATCTCTTATCTCTCCAATGACAACTATCCAAGCTACTGGAAACATTTGATCTGTTTCCATCTATTTCTATAACTATTAGCAACTCTCTTTTAACAATGCCTTTAAAAAAACATCCATCCATAACACCCTCGTGCAATTAGCCAAAAACCCTTACTTGCAATAATTGAATGACATAAATATTCTATCAAAAATAGGATCAATATTTGGGAATAAAGGAAGGGTCATATCAATACAATCAGTTGTAGTTCTAATATTTGAATTCCTTAACTCTAAATAGTAATCATGCAACTTAGCATATTAAATCTTATAATCACCATTTGATTTCTCTAACACTTTCTCTCTAACTCTTATCCATTTTATGAATGTCATTTCAGCTTGAAAATCATCTCACAAATTGTCTTAAATCTGTAAGTGTGATTGAATTCATTGCCCTTGCTTTCCTAAAGTAATTTTTAGCTAACCAACTATTACTTAGCCTTATGTTTCTATTAACTCGATTACATCTATATTCATCATGTAGTGTTTTAATTTGGAATGTATTAACAACTGAAGTTTTGGTAGCATAAATTTTTCATGGACAACTTGTAACCACACAATTAGCACTAAATTTATCTTTAATATTCATGTCAATTTTAATATCCCTCATACTTAGTACTCTATAATCATCAACTCGCTTCCTTTAATTCTTGTTTATTCTTATATATCATGCCTAACACAAATTGAGGTATCTTTGTTTGACCTTTTTTTAACCTCTTAAATCTGCTCTTTTTTATAGCAACATAATCTTCATCATAACTACCATCATTATCATTTGAATCAACATAATCTTTTTCAACCTTTTATACATTCATCCTTTCAATAAGATCTCGCTCTAGGTCTTTCCGTTCTACCATAGTATGTAGATCTAATTTTTTTTAGTTCTTATAGCCCTTAGCTTGTGAATTTCATCATGTAACTCTTCTTCTTCTTCATCGTAAAAGATGAAATATTATTCAAATATGTTTCCTTCTCATCCTTACTACCGTGACTAATATTATCATCATCAATATTTTTTTTATCATCGTATGCGAGCATAATTGCATTTTTAACATCCACATTATATAATTTCTCATAACCACCTACTCCAACCTCAATTGCATCTTGTTCAATATCTTCGTAACCTCCTCATAAGCTCTCAATTATCTCATCGATTGTTTTAACCCTAATATCAACAACCTCAAGCCTCTCTTTCACACCTCCCACTTCCTCAAATCTCTCTTCAACGAGTCTTAACCCTTTCTTTTATACACATATCCTCAATTACATCTACATTATCATTATCAAAATCTATATCAATAGTCTTCACCTCAACATAATCAGCCATATCATAATCAATATTATAAGCCATATTATCATCGTAATTATCAACAAAATCATCATTTTTCATCATCTTCAAAATTGACAAGATGATCATCTAAATTGTTAACATTATCAAACACATTTTCATTAAGACATTTACGGTTATAAAACTTTTTCACATCAATATAGACATAATTAACATTCTCATTCTCATCAACATCAAACAAATCCATCGAATCTACATGCTCTATAAATACTTGGATCGTCTTGTATTGATTGATTATTTTGCCTATTTTATTGAACATCTACCATTCAAAGCAAGCTCTAATCCCCGTGGCAATCTCATGTCGGGGACCTCTATACCAAACCCTAAAAACATCAAAATCACCTAATTCACTAGGTCATTCTCTTTTAAAATCAATTAAGCTAACAATGTTAGAATCCACTTCTTTCACTATTTTTTTACCTCCAATATAACTCATATCGAGCTAATGTTGTAAATACCCACCATAACGATGTTCAACATAACCCATAGTTTTGCTAAAAATAACAAAAAATACTAAGTAAGAAGCAGAATCACTTTTCATAATACAATGAAAAGACAAGGTTCAATATTCTTATCCAAAAAAGAACAACCACAACGCAAAGATAGAGAATAAAGAGAG